AGAAAAGGTACCTGCACTAATGTTTACTTGGTTTTCTATTTATGACTCATCAGTGTAGACTTGGAGCCATTGATCTGCAGGATAGTTGACATTGATTGTCTCAATGGCCAGTGAGCGCATTTGTTCTAGAGGGGTGTTTGATTTCCTGAAGAAGTCAAGCAGTTGGGTGCAACACACTACATCAGTGTCTGCTAATGGGTTCATAGGGGGAGAGAGGCTTTTTGGTTTGTCATCGATTTGTAATTCTTTCTTCAGTTCTATGGCTTTCTGTATTAGACCAGATATCGTTTTCAGATGTCTTGGTCTATTCTCATAGGTGCTGAAGAACTTGTCCATGGGAATGCGCAGTAGCTTCTCATACAGGATCAAGGCCTTTTCTTTGATAAGGGAACTTACTGTGGTGCTTCCTGTAACTAGGAGCATTGCATCAATGGGTGTTGATTTTATCCCTCCAGTAATTAGTCGTAATGCTTGGTTGTGTGCCTTCTCGAGTGGTTTGAGAGTCCCCTCTGTGGTTCTTTCTTGGGTCTCTCCTTGTTATTTTGGAGGTTACCCAGGAATTTAAAAGTGCGTTGGCTATCACTTTGAAAATGAAGAATGCTTTCATGAAGGTGTGACACCTTACATTACCATCGCGATGTTAAGTTTTTTCTTGAAGAGGTCTTGCCAAACAGGTGGATTTGACGAAGAAGTTTTGTTCCATATCCTCCCTGTTCACCAAACCTAATGCTACTAGATTATTTCTTACAGAGATACTTAAAAGACAAAGTCTAAGCTACAGAACCTGCAAAAGTCAATAAATTAAGAAAAGCCACTGAGCATGACTGCGTCCAAATCCCGAGGGAATTATTTCATGATGTGTGCAATTCAATTGCTTGGCGTAGTCAGCAGTGTCTGGGTTAAAATTGACGTCAGTTTGGGAACAAGCAGTGAAAAATAATAAATCGTATTGGTATAATATTTTTACGCTTTTGAAATTATAGAACTCTAATTGAACGTCATGTTTACAATGCGCTTCAATGATTTTGCATTTTTGGATACCGGCAAAAAACCTATAGTGGACTATGTCAACTGGGAATGCATCAACTAGACTCTCTTGAAAGATTTTTTAAATAATTTGAAAAGAGAGAGCAGCTTAAGAATTAATAGGTTAATGTTCAAATTATATAGTTTTATACAATCTTAAATGATTGAATTAAGGCGTTTCTCAATAATTATCTAAACACTGGATTCATTAATAATAAAGCAACTAATGGACTTTTTTAACTTTTTGTACTTATATACATATATATTTTTGGGACCGCATTTCGTTTCTCAAAGGAACGCACTTAGAGTAGAAATAAAAATTAAAATATTTTAATTTTAAAAACTGAGTTGAAATACGGAGGAAAAAATTTATGTTGGTTCATATAAATTTGGAACATAGATTGACCGATTTAATTATTCCTTTGAAATCAAAGAACATACATGATTATTTAGATAATAGTTAAAAGTAAATGTATTTGCATTCTGGATAAGAGTTTAAATATAATGCTTAAATTACAAATATATGAATGGACTTTTCTTGAAGTCAATTTATCTACAGTAAAAATGAATTATTATGCAATGTTATAATTTACCCAATTATCATTTACGTGATAAGAGCATACGCCAAACAGCAACGTCACCGTTTAGGTTTAAACTGAAGAACATTAAGGAATTGGAAGAAAGCTTTCCCATCCTCAACAACAATATTTATCCGAAATAAAGTTACCATGTTGATCTTTTAAAAATACATCTTCTGAAGTCAAAAAAACATAATTATTACTAAAATGGTTCCCGACATAATTTTTATATCACATTTATTATTATTATTATTATTGTTAATCCAGCAAACGTCAGTAAAATGTGAAATTAATAACGTAAAGTTAAAGCTTGAGTTTCGTGCAATCAATATTCTGAGGCATTAAGAGGATGAATGTAAGAAAGCCTTCTTGAGCGTTCGACAATTTCTGTTAATACTATCATTAACCTGCTATCAAAGAAACCGATTTACAAATGAAGGATATATAACATCAATTGCCAAAATAATTATGGTAATTTTAAGTTTATTACCGGATGCACAATTTTATGTTATTAACTACACATCAAAAACCGAATAGAGAGAATAAGTTTCACAAATAAAACCTTTGAAGTAAAATCGCAGACAAAGAAGAATATCAAAATCTGTTCATCCTATTGTTCAATTCAAATTAAATTTAGCAATTTCTATAATAAGTCATTAATACTTTGAGTTGTTCTGAATTCGATCGTCAGAACTCTTTCCTGAGTGCCCAAGAACACAGAGTGAAGTCCATCATTGGTCTGGAAATAATTTTCTATGTCGTCTTTGGCTTAACTCTTGAGCAGATGCACAAAGTTTGCAGTGGAATCTGGAATCTAAAATAGATGAGGAGGAATGTATTGGAATCATATTTTTTCAAATTTAAAAGTCAAAGATCCGGTTTTAGTAAATTGGTAGCAAATTTTACAGACAACAGACAATCGAAGCATGCGTATGTGTTTATGTTAGGCGATAAAAATTTATTTCCATTAATTTTTTATGATCACTCAATAGGCTGTTGAAAACGGGACATAGAATAATTTAATTATTTATGATAGTTTTATGATCGCTTTTTATTAATAATTCCTGCAAATAAAAAAGTTTTGAACAAGCTGAAAAATATTCTCTAACTAATATTGCAAACGCTGTCTCTATTTTGTATTATGCCGATGATTTTTTCATGCAAAAATGGAATTTTATTCTGTCAAAATGGGAAATTGCAGCAATTATTTTTGAAAAAAAAATTAAAATTTCAGTTACTAGAGAAGCGGAGTTTTGCTTCCTATCCAGCTATAGGGTCAGAAGTTGATTTGATTATGCGCTCACGTCTGAACGCGTATCTCTTTGGAACTAACAACTCTGGTGGGAATAACTAGGAAAACTTTCAAGTTCCCTGTCAGTCTTTTCAGTGAGCTATGTTGGAGTTTTACGATGGAAAAACACATGCCTTATTCGTTCATAATGGAAAAAACTTTCATAGCCACTCCCTCTGGAACTTTTCTGCACATCTATGGCCTTTTTTAGCCGATTTCGTAAACACTATATCTCTACTGTATTTCACTCAAATAGTTGATGTTTTTCTCTACGAAATTCTTATACTTCGTTTCGATATTTACTTAATCTATTAGCATTTGCACAAATAGAACTATTTTTTCTGACAGCCCCCCTTAATTAATATTCTTTTGATGATTCTAAAATTGACTTTAGTTATTGTCACCTTTTAATATCCGAGATTTGCGCAGTAATAATCTGCAAGCGGTAATATTTGTTGTGCTTAAACTCCCACCATAAGGTGATTGAAGTGTTCAGCGTACCCACGGCTAGAAGTTAGGGGTAAGATGCTTGGGAGCGCATATGTGGAAGTTATCATCCCCCCTGGAAGGCATTTTACTAACTAAAGAAAATTTAAAAACATCAGCTTAATTGGACTTCAGTTCAGGTGGCGTTTGCAATTCAATTAAATGGCTTAACTTCATGAAATATTGTACTGATAGCTTTTATCACACTGGTGAGAGCACATGGTTTCATGTATCTGCAAAAAATTAAAATCAGCAAGTAAATGAAGAGATTTTGTTTTTGGCCATAGTTAATACAAATGATCATTTGAAATTCGCTTTCCTTAACATTAAGCCCAAATTCCTGTTTAATTGTCTTTAATAAAGGCAATATTCTAGGCCCCTTCCCCCTTTATGAAAGTCAGTAGAAGTCTTTGGAGTGAATATAAAATTTTTATCCATCTCTTCGACCTCAATGGGCCTTACGCCAATTGCGAAATCGGGAAATGAAAAAGTTTTGTACATCTTCTCGGAAGGCAGGGTTCATGAAGCAGTAGATAATGGGATTGATTGCGTTATTCACGTAGTACATGTAAAATACAGGCAAGTATATATGGATCACATTAGCAGCCATTAGCAAAGCAGGAATAAGGGCAATAATATAAACAATAGCCACTACAAATAGCATTCCAGCTGTCTTCATATTCTGCAGCACCGAATTGGCCTTGAAACCTCGGACAGAAATACGTCGACTAAGGTCACGAGCAACTTTGGATTTTTTCAGTCCAAACCATTTGAACTTATCCACCTTGTTATTCATCGGAGGAGTGTCATTCAAAGGTACGATTGAGGGTACATCTGCCTGGCGAAAAGAGTTTAACGGATTTTCTGCCAAATTCAACCTGTTTTTCCATATTTCAGAGACTAGGTTCTGCTCATTCTTCTCTGCCATTTCCTTGGTTTCATTTTCTAAGTCACCAGTGTTTAACATTTCACTCGTATTGACGGCGCATTGTTCAAGAGTGGGATTCGCGTCTGTCTCCTTTACGCTGACATTGTTTGACTCTGTTCTTTCAATGCTTAACGGCATTTTGTGCAATTTAGTTCCAATCAGATTTGTGCGTTTCCGTCTCATCTATTAAAAATTTTAAAAAAAATTAAAATGGATAATTAAGCTATTATTTCTTCGCCGAATAAATCTGGCTTGCATGTTAATACCCTATTAAAATTGCCAATCAAACGCTCTTAAATATTTATTTCTGTCAAAAATTATTGAAAATTTATTCAAATTTAATACTATTTTTACTATATATAAAAAAATTTATTTCAACTTCCTTGACTAGTGTAACTTTATTTAGACCAATCTCGGAGAGATTAGTAAAGTGAATGTTGAAATTAATGGGAAATATTCCGATATATCTTCTTTTAATGGTCAATCCTTCCAAGGGGTAAATTTACCATGAAGAATCCAATGAATTATCTTTTATAACCTTTTAGTTCTTTGATGCAGTTAGTCGAGAAAAATGTGGACTTACATTCTTTCAAGTAACTCAATCATTTCATTCAATGTAAACATAGCCGGTGAATGCGCCAATTGATGCCCCTGAAATGACCTCAACCATAATAAAAGGTCAATCAAGATTTAAAATCTGTCAATTCGGGACCACTTGAAACTGAAAGGTCACACTGCACGCTTAACCTGCCAATAAATTTGTAATTCAGGCGTGGAAAAATCGCAGCATTACTGAATGGAAGAGCAAAATTACGTTTCGGAATTTCACATTGAACTTAGTTTAAATACCTTTGAGAGAGCGAAATATTACAGACATAAACCCTGTGGAAACCATGAAATAAGGCGTAAAGAGAAAGAATTCTCAAAATGTAATTACAATTCTTAAAAATAAAAACTACCCAAACGCAAATAATTGTTGATTTTTTAAATATTCATTTAATGTTATCCTAATATCGTCTATTATTTCACATATACTTGCTAATCAATACTGTTTTTTGTTTAAAATGGAGCTATTTTTATGAACAATTGATGATACAAAAAATATAAAATAGTTATTAATTTGAAATATTTGAAAAGTGTGATAGTCAAAATAAATTTCTAAAGCAATAAAAAGTTGATCAGATCTGTTCTCTGTTTTAATATTCGGCTTTAATTTTAACTTTCTTGTGCGTTATATTTTAAAATTTAATTACTTGCTAAAAAGTTCGCATTAACTAGGTGATATTATCGGATGGAAGACTTGTTTCATTATAAAATACGTCCGGCTTTTATAGTAAATTAGTACATAATGTGTTGTCCTTACAATTATAACCGATCGGAAGATTAGAATGTAGAGGATAACAACCGATAGAATGCAGAGTGCGAATGACGAAAATTGGCTGCCCTGAACAATGTAAAAGATAACCATCTGCGCTTTGGTAGTGTTATTCAGCATTCGTGTCTCCGTGCATTCATATTCTGGGTGTGTGGAATTAAGGTGGTTATCTTGTTCCAGCACGATGGCCAAGGAAGAGACACCACCAAGTAATAGAGTCAGCAAGAGCATTGCGACAATAATTTGTTTGGCTCTATTGACAGTGATAATTTTAGAGAAAGGGTGACATATTGCAAAATAGCGATCGAAAGCTATGCAAGATATTAGGAGGGATGAGAATGGTATGAAAGAGTTGTTAATCACGTAGTAAAACTTGCAGAGGAATTCCGACCTTATTCGCCATTCCACCGATTCAATATACATTGTTAGGGGAATCAGACATACACAGGCAAACGAATCCACCATTGCCAAAGCAAGAATGAACACTGTAGAGGTCAGACGATCTTTCTTAGTGGAATATATTACCATCACAACTGTGTTGCCAATGCAGCCGATACTAGAGAATAATCCCAGCATTATTAAAGTTGCTGGCACCTGCTCTGACATAGTACTTGTCATCAGCGTCATTTTGAAACTGTCCTGTCTCTAAAGAATAAGAAGATTATTTTAGTTCTCACTTGGTTGAAAGTGTGGTAAAAATGAAGATAAATGACCCAAGATACAGTGGTATTGACTTAATAATTTCTTTATAGATATTTCTATCAACTGTTAAAATGGGAAAATAGTATTGTTTCCAAATAACACTTTGTCCATAAACCTGAGTAAATATTTTACTTCAATGGTCCTTAAATTACTCTAGATAAAACGATTTGTAAAGTATTTGGACAGTGAGCTGCACTATTTTAACCACAACTGAATCCCTTAAAAAAGGTGTATTTGAGGTTTGAAAGGAAGCGTTAGTATGAATACCTACTTTCAGTAGTTGATTAAATAAAAAATGAAGCACTCAAATAATTATTTCTTACAATGTAGTCGCTTTCAGCAGGGGTAAATACTGAAAAAAGTTCAACAACATATAGCTCATTTTAGAGGCATTTCGATTCAGGAAAACTTAATTAATTTAAAAAACGTAAATAGTAATATTTTTCTCTGTCTCTGCAAATTGAATTAAGTTAAATAACTAATAATTTAAAATGCGTATAACGATTTCCAATATTTTTGTTCGGAACTCAATTACCACAACTAAATAAATTAATGAAGGAGTATATTTGAGCTTCAAATCATGTTGGATTTCTCGTCATTTTCAAATCAATCCGTTGTCGAAAATTATGTGGCACTAACTAGTTATTGCTATTTAAATAATTAAATATCGCTAAGGACATCCTTAAATAACTTGGAAACGTGAAATAATCATCCTTACCTGATTCAAATTGAATTCTTATTTCCACATTGTAGATGTTCGAGCAAATTTTCAGAGCAGATATACATTTTGCCTTTATAAATTTTCTTGGACACACAAAAAAATATGATTGGACGAAGATTCAGCCAATCAGTATTTGGAAATGCACTGCAAAGAAGTGTCCAATCACCCTCATTTTCCTTACTTCGGGAGAGTTTATAGTAAATATATGTAGAGGTTTATACTTATTTACAGAATACCTTAAATCATTTTAAGCCAACTTAGTTAATAGATATGAACTTTGTTATAAAATACTTAAATAAAGCTTAAAATTGAAATTCTAAATAATCACTTTAAGGTACATCACGCCCAACTTATAAGTTTTAGAAGTAATCCAATAGTTATAACAATAAGTTATGGGGTGTTTCAATTAATAAAAAATAATATTACAGGAAAATCGACAAATAATTCAAATTGTTATGTTTGAACCACAATTAAATGCATTACATATTTAAAGGAGTTTATGCTTGCCACCATTAATCAATATTCGATTGAAATAGAATAAATAAATAAAAATGAATAGCTGTCTTACTCTTTATATTTTCAATCGCAACCTTTATTAATCAATACTGCTTCTCTAATAGCATTTTAATTCGCTTCTAATATTGAACCACAGTCATTATTTCAGCAGCGCCTTTCAAATGCAAAGCTACAATGGGATTGAGTTAACGCGACTTCTTAAATTATTGATAAATTTTATTTTCTTAAATTCGATCAATAAACATCGAAGAATATAATTTATAATAATGAAGACAACTTCTTACATTCTTATTCAGGTTTGTTTTGTTGGTTAATAGAGTGTAAAAATAATCTATTGTTCTCCAATGACAAATTGGTTACGAATTTTGTCTTAGACTAAATTTATTTGAAAATCAGCAGCATTGAAGATTTTATAACAAGAAATGGAGTCCAACTAAAGTAAACTAACGAGTTAAGACGACAGTCGACAGCCTTGAATACAAGTACAACATGGCTTGTACTGGAGGTCATCGTTAATGAATTGAGCTAAAATAGCAATGGCAGTTAATTGGATGTCAAACTAAGCTCATTTTCGCTAGAGCTTTGATATTAGTAGCTATTAGAAATTCACTTTGGTTAGTGATGGCGAAGGAGTTCTCTTTTAAACTCCAAGGTTGCCAATTTTGCCTCCGATATACATTTAAAATAATAAATTATTATGGATTATTTCTTTTAACTCAAGGGTTGGTATTAAATAAAAAAGAGTTGGCCACTCGGCTAAGAGCTTGTTGCATTAAAATTGATTGTAGTGGGAAGTAAGTTCTTTTATTTGAGTGGCTTAGCAAGACTCATAGAGGTAGTGTTCAGAACCCTTTAAATGTAAAGTCGAATATGGAAATGTTCCCGTCAGTTAAGGAATAAATGTGTTCCACTTCTAGCTTATTCAATCTCATAAGATTTAGTTATATGCTTGACAGAAATGAGGTGAATCAATAATTGGCAAAAAGAAAATTGAAATGTGGTTCAGTTTCTGAGACAGTATCCCTATCAGGCGATGCAATGGAATAGCATATACTCGGGAAAACAATGTCCTGCATATTTGCATCCTAATCAGAATTCCCCATATATGAACGGGCGAAATGAACGTCTTGGCTAATTCATTGGGACACTAACCTAATTTACTTAAATATTTACTTTATGGTATGAATAGCTACTTAGAAATTTTAGCATGCTCTAAAATAAATTTCTGAATATCAAGACCTCTAACAGATGCGTTTGCATTAATGATGGATTAATTTTTAATCTGGCTTGTTAAAATTGCTTATTGTGGTTTTCCAGAAAAAAATATTTCCCATTAACAGCCAACAGGCAAATTGAGACACATTTTTGGACGAAATTCTCATGTAGTGAGTGCCAGTGAAATTCAATTTTGATGTTGGTAAATGGTAATTTAATTCTGTTTGAGTTTCACATGATATGTGCAAAAAAATAACCTTGCACAGCAGAATACAATATTCCAATTGAATAGGAAGTAATTGCAACTCCACGAAATGGACAATAGATGGCGACATTTTACTTTCGCTTTCTATCCTAATTTGGGTATGTTTGACAACCTTATACTCAATTATTTCCGCAAAAATTCGAAGGCAAATTTTAAATTAATTAAACTTTTAAGTTAATATAATTAGTCGACTGAAAATTATATACTTTTGTACTTTCTATGGCTATTAAAAATTTTGTTATCAATTAAAATAAACAAACTTTTAAACTTATTTTCTTTTTTATATTGAGATATTACACCTTGTTCAGAGAAATTGCAAGGTTCTATTTAAGCTTTTTTCATTATATGTCTTTAATAATGGTCTCAAAGTGAAGCCAATTGCGTGCAATTGCTATTTTCTATTGGCTGAACCGCCAAAAGAACAAAAATTAAATTTTACACCGAACTTCAACACCATTACACCATCTTTTTATTAAAATTAACCAAAAATTTTATAACTAACTGAAAAGATTTGATTTTGAAAAGAAAATATTAAAGAAAGCATGAATTAGTTGAAGCAATTGCCAAGTGTAGAATCGTGCTAATAACTAAAATGAAGTTGAGGTGTACTGATTTGCCTACCCACTAAAAGGCCATTATCAACTTTCGTCATCCATTCTTCGTCAAGCAAAGGCCTTGAACATGTCGCCTGACTACTTTCCAAAGTTCGTCAATTTGACCTCGGTTCATTTTCTCATCATATCGTTAAAGATTTTAACCCTAAATTTTACTTCATACCTCACTATGTAAAAAAATATCGCCTATATGTTTAAATAATGATAACGCAGATAATTTCTTCACACGTACTCTTGCATATCTGGACTTGATCGTAGAAACTCTCCGATTGATTGTACGGTGCTTGAGAAATAAAGCATCAAGGCTTATTATGGGTACTCTACAAATAAACAATTGGGTTTCAGACCACTTGGAGAACTGATTCCGGTTCCGATTCGGCAAATCTCATACTATTTTTTGGCATGAATGTTCTGCATTCATAGCACAATGCAATGGCAATATTGTAAAAGGTTGTTTAAAATAAGTGATATATCTTAATTCCAGAAGTGCAAGTACTCGTGATTTACAAATAGAAATGATTTTTAAACACGTGTTACAAAGCCACCAATGAATTTTTTCAGTTCTGTTTAAACGTTTTGCATTTAAATTGGCACGTGTTTGAATGGAATACTTCGTTTAATGAGAATTTTACTCTTCCCCTGAATTCAGACAAATTTTCATGCACTTTAGGACAGCCGGATCAGACGTTTGCAGAAAAGTTGTTTATCTTCTTTTGGCCATCTGTACACGTAATGAATTTAAATTTGCATCCCTACTGCTGCACTTTCCTTCTCTCTCTCTATCTCTCTCTCCCGTTAGGTATTTTTTTTAGATTCAAGGACCCATCGCGCTCTGAGATCAAGGCACCTTGTCTTTCTTTTTACCCGGCAAGCTAGCATAAATGAAAAATGGCTTTTGTCCTTCGTCCCATTAATAACTTCCTGTAAATGTGAAACGATTTAGGTTAATCCTATAAGCTAATTTAAATGTCGAATCTGCGCATTTTGACGGCATTGTAAAATGTGAGTCACGCTTGAAAAGGTTGAATATAATTTTTAAAGTTGATCTGATAAAAATTGCAATTCATGGGTAACTGTTTTCAACTCCATATTGACTTGATAAATTAACTATTTACAATTTTTATTTAATAAATTTCTACAAGAGCAGATACCAACGAGATCTTAGATGTCTTTACCAATTGTTTAATATAATATAATTGCACAGGCGGCATCTCAATAACTTCAGTTTTATTAAAACCCAAGTAACTAAAATTTAAAAACAAAGATAGATTAAGTTATCTGCCAGAATAAAAGCTTGCCTTAGCGTTGTGAAGTGGCTGTTTCTGCACTTATTTCATTTTTGTATCTACCCGCAGTATACAAATAAACGAAAAATTCCAAATTGCCAATTTTTAATGATTTGAAGTAATATTTAAGAAATATCTGTTTAAATTTACAAACAAATCTCTTTGCATCTCGGCTTTGCTACTCGTTTAGTCTTATTTTTCTACCTATTGGTTAACAATGCGGAAAGTAATGATAAATTTATCCGATGAAATCAATATGGAAAACATTTCCTTAGTGGTACATGGGTTTTGATTTGAATGCCTTCTGA